TACAGCGATTAAGGCGCGACGTGGTAGACAGCAGCTGGATGTACGCAATACGTGCCCTAGCCAGCGAAGCCTAGTAATATGAATTCGATGTGCTAGCAGGTTTATACCTGATAGACTCCCAAACACACAACCGCTTACCTCTAGATTGCTAACCCGTCCGCTCCATTCCACGTGGGTTAAACTACGTAAACATCGATAGTCGAAAACTTCTGGTCGATGGATATCTACTTGCAAATTCAAGCTCTCACAACCATAAAGCAGGACTGAACGAACGGTGGCACTGTATACACGACCTTTCAACTTCAATGAAACATCGCGTCTACGCCAAAGGTGTTTCAGGCCTGCTTATGCTGCTCGAGCCTTGGAAGGAAGAGTGGCTATCTCCTTTGCAGCGCTCTCGTCATTGGTCAAGCAAATACCTAAGTACGATACGTAATCCGATATACTTAATTCCTGGCATGAGAGCTTGAAAACCCTAACCAGGACACTGGATCACATAGGTACCGTGAGGCTCCCTGGATGGGGACCCCGAGGTTAGGGTAGCTGGTGGTTAGAGACGCTAACTGAAACCGCTAAGTGTCGCAAACATTGGCGCTCGTGCATCCACTCAATATTTTTGCAACCCTAGTCTATACAAATTCTCCATTTCCCCCTTAAATTTAATCATAACATTCCAATCTGCTTTCTGCTTCTTTATCCAAATGGGCAGCCAAAAGACAGCAAGCAAAACGGGCACACGAAAGTGTATAGTTATTGGTTTTATAAACTGAAAACTCATGAAGCACGGTTGATGGGTTAAAAAGGATTTTGGCTCATTTCGCAGTGTTTTGCTCGTTTGAAGAGTAAGCTGATGGTGCGAGATTGGATGTCATCAACTAGTGCTCTGAACTGTCTTACTCAATCAACTTCATGGCCGATGACGACAGAGCATTGAAGGTGGGGGCGGTGAAACGCACTTCCCGGGTTCGAGCGGAGTAGACCAAACTGAAGTACCCCTGGTGATTTATTTGAACGGTCGTGTATATTATGCCACAGTAGGACCAGTTCTGCGTTACGCTATTAGGAGGAGTTTGCATGGACGCCTGCAAACGTCCATTTTTACATTGTTTGGTGCGGGCAGGAAGAAGCGATTTGGTTGGTAATTTAAAGGTGGTAATTGCCTAACATAGCTTAGTCTTGTTCTCAGCCTGATTGCATCCTTTCTCCACCGTGTCACGGCATTTAAAATGTTCCCGGACAATGAAGCGAAATGAACAAAATAAGAATTTAGAATCCTCTGCAAGCAAAACTGGAAATCAGTCATGTAGAGACGGAGTTGTGATTGACTGACGAATATTGGCAATAAAATTTTCACGTGATTAAACAGAACAGATTTACGATTTGATGGACGAGAACGTCCAACGCACTGCGGAAAATGTGTAGCTCTTTAATGATTCCGAACTTATAGATAACATGAGAAACCGGTTATTCATTACTTCAAGTTGAAAGCATTTTTCATGAGAATGGTGTTAAACAGTGGAGAATAGATACAGCTGTGCTGAGAAACGGTACCATACGGATTAGAAGCTATGCTACGAGGTTAAGTAAAGACAGGAAAGCCTGGAGCGTCTCCGATTTTTTCTCCAGTTCGAACGTCTTTTACACATGCCTAACAAAGATTAAGAGCAGCTTGTTCTGGCTACAGTTGCCATTCTGAAGTGAAAGGTCAGGATGGAGACAAGACATGAACTACTGCGATATGAGAGAACAGCAGATTAGATGTGGCACATTTTTCGGGCTAAATTCCGAAACACGGTTATGATCACCGAAATGACTGCAGTGACATTCTATATCAGCTCACAATGTTTCGAGTGGTCTATACTCGGCTAAAACGGGTACTCTACGTGTCGACAACTATGGATCGAGTTCCTTGCCCCGTCCATACCGCAATGTTACTGCGCTCCATTATATTACATTTGTATCGGCAATGATTACTGAGGTTAACTACATTATCCTGCCGTAAAACAATGATAACACTTTGGAACACTGACTATAACTGCCTTTCGACAAGGCTCATCAGGATAAACTCCCAAAATATCAGGAAAAACGAATTATATTGTTCAACAGGTTGTAGAGTTCCGCACCATAATTGACTCGTCAAGGAATACAAAAGGAAACTGAAACATTATCCCCAGTGTTTCGTGTTTCCGATTGTACACGTTTTCACTATCCCCAAAACAATTCACCCAATATATCAATCCAGATAGAAGCATTATTTGGACCCATTACATGTGCAGGGCTGGGGACAAGTTGTACCTAATCTCGGAATAGGAGTTTAAACTGGTAAAAAAACGTGTCTACTGCTCCTCACGATTCACGCGGGAGAGCTTTCAAGTTGTCGAGATCCTCATACGACAAGTCAACAGCATCCGGTGCAATAGACTTACATCCGGTGGATTTCAATTGGATTTCAATTTCCGAACTAAGAAGGGAATAAATTGTGAGGTAACAACGGGAGGGAGATTGTTTTGCTATGTACATTTCAGTAAACAAAAAACGCAGACACGATATCTCATTGAAATCTTTGCTCACCTGATAGTCAACTGGAATCAGTGGATGATGCGGCGGGAATGCACGCGTAGATCCCTTCCGGTGTACCAACAATGTTTTGATCTTGCCGTCTACCCAGTGTTCTTCCACTTTGGCAATGTTATGCGATACGTCGTAGATAATATGCATGTCCAGATCATCCGGTGTGGAGTTGAAAATTTTTGCAAAAGCCTGAAATATACACGCCGGAAAGTATGAGCGCATGGTTAGACCAAGTTGAAGCAGCAGGATAACCCGGTTTTGTGGAGAATTGTTGGCGTCTATCCTCCGCGCTCAGAGGAAGACAAAGGTGGGTGAGCCAATGTGCAATTTGCTCAAATAGCTTCACATTCACTGTTCCTCGCTGTACGGTTGGGACCCTTGGAAAAACCGGTTACTTTTACTTTCGTCCAGATATCTAACAATCGGAGATAATTTAGCTGTATGGACTACACTGACCAGTACACATTTTGGAGCATGGTATTACAAGCGTAGTTCCCAACAGCGGTGGGCCTCTT